ATACTTCTACTATATCATATTAGTCAATGGCAGACCCCTGTCAATGAAGCAAACTTATGGGCTTAGGCTCCCATCGAATGTGCTGACTGTTGAGTGTTTGTTCAAAGCAGTCCACCACCAGTTCCTTGAAATGTTGACCCGCAATCATATGGGTTTGTCTCAGAATGAAGGTACCAAAACAATTGTAATGGTGTCCTGTCGGATTGACTTTAAAACAAAACCAAAGGGGGGCCAAAAAGACAACCCCATTTGATCTCCCTCAACCCAAAAAGGTGCCATTAAAAAGAGGCAGAGCCGTGCTGGTGATCAAGCACATAGCTCGCGGGTCTGTTTCAACAAGCGAGGCACAATCTACCTAAAACTATGTAAAGCATCCAAGAGGGCGGGCGCACGAATTTGGGGTTGGGACGCTACTATTCATCTAGCGTCTTCCATTTGCTGAAGGCCCCCCGAAGAAAAAAAAAATCCAGTAGTAATAGGTTCCCTTTAAAAGCAACATATTCTTGAGCAAATGGAAGCCATCGCTTCGATTCTGCTCACGTGACTTGTCACTCAAACGCTCGATCTGGGCACTGCAACTGCTCGGCTCTGCTCGCCCCAGGCCTGCAGCCCAGGAATGCAGGCATCGCGGATCGTACGTGCGCAGCACATGGGCTTCTGCCTTTTTCAGGCTCGGTCCCGGAGAGGGAAACCAACAAAGACCACCATTGTCGGGGATCCCCGTTTTTTGACAAGTACCCGAATGGGGTCCTCACCGACCAAAGGAACAAATAACTTGGCCCTGGAAGTTTGTCTTGGTACGTGTTGGTGGGTGCAGAGCCTGGTAAGCAACAAGGAGCTTGGCTGAGCGAATGCTCTCACAGCCCAGAGATTTCCTTGCCAAGCCAAAATGGCCAAGACATGCCAAAGAAGAACCGCTTTTAGTGTGTCATGAGTCAATGAGACAGGTCGTTGAGCCCGTCAGGTAGCTCTGCCAAACAGCCCCCTGGTGAGGTTCCGCCATTTCGGGACAAACCCTTGGCAGCCACCCGGCCACCAGTTTTATGTGGAGCAACACAGCCCAGAGACAAAATGGAGATCCAACATGAAGTCCTCAAAAACCAAAGGTACTTCCACACCAGAAACACTTTATGTAAACCATGTGACACCAGGTGCCCAATGACAGCTCAAACTGGGTGTCAACAACAAAAAAGGGGTCAAAGAAGGTTGGGGTCGGAACAAAAAGGGGCCTCTGTGCTGCACAAAAACAAAAACTCCGCTCTAAGCAGCCCGCAAGTGCATCTTCCGCAGGTGGAACAGGCGCAGTGCCTGCCGGTCCTCGTGCATTCCGGTTCTCAGTTGTTCAGTGACCCTGGGAAAAAAAGGAACCCTTTTTGGTGAAGACCATTTTTAGTGGGGCAGCCGCCAAAGAAAAGGGGAAAAAAGGGTGCCACTGAACAACTGAGGTTTTGTTTTTCCCCCGAAGCCGTTGGCCGTCTTCCGAGTTGCTCCCATTCGAGCGAATCGATCCGCAGCGGAACGAAAATCGGCCCCTCCATGGGAAGCCAAACTCATTTTCCTAGAAGTTTGGTCGTTTTTTAGAGATTCGGAGCAGCACGTCTTTTCTTGTCGCTTGCCATGCGTTTCATTTAGAAGGGCATGCAGCCAATTTTGAGACCCTTCAACACAAACAACATACGATTCGATTTGCTTTTAGTTTCTACTTCTGCTGGTCTGTGTCTCTTGATCCTTGTGGGCTTCAACAAAAAAAGCTGGCCATGCACCTTTCGGCAGCTATTGGTCCCTATTTGGGTATGTGTCAAAATTGAACAACCAGGGGACGACAGGTTTTAGTCCTGGGTTCCATCTACCAGGGTTCTATTTTGGGTACCTAGTTTTGACCCACACCCTTTTGTTGCTTCTTGCTGGGTATCTCGTTGCTTGAGCAACCAAACACAGCGGTTTGGCTAATCTTGATGCAACTTTGTCTCATGGCTCGAATTATGGGCTGATGCATTCAACGCTTGGTGAGCGGCGGATCCATGCTATCATGATGATGTGTGATGAACATGAAACGTTACTGGCAATCCGCTGGCACTTTGCCAAGTGTCTGCGTGTGTGTTATTGCCATTTACATTTAAACAAACAAAAACACATACGTGTCTACAATAATATACCGGTGGAATATGTAGCTCACAACGGGAAGCACGGAGACTGCCTGCAAGGAAACGCTATCTATAAGATACGTGTAGCTGCGTGTTGAGCCACGGTGATTGTTATGTGTGAGCCCCATTAACACTGACATTTGCTGACAAATTTGGCTTGCTAGTGGCAGTTTGATGAGAGCATCCCAATGGCATGTTGACTTGTGGATGGCAACTTTTGACTGCTGATTTGTACCGTGGTGGAAGTTCAGACAATCGCTCCCCAACACAAACCCTCAAAATGGACGTCCTTGGAGCTCCTGGAAGGTATCAACTGCCCGCCATCCCAATGACCAAGCCTGGCAACCACAAGCTCATTGAGTCTACCACACCACATCGAAAACGCTGCAAAAAGGCGCTGGTCTCTTGGTGGAAGAACATGGAACCCAAACAAACCGTCCACGCTTTAGGAACCTCGGAATCTCCGCGGACCCGTCTTGATTCGCAGGGAGACCAGAGGCATCGTTTGCTCAGCTCGGGATCTTGGGCCCGGCTCGTCCTCGTCATCCAATTCCAGCGGATCCTCGCACGGCAAACCGCTGCAGCTTGAAGCAACCCAAAGGACCAAGTAACAAAAGCTGATCCATCGCCTGTTGGGGCCATGACTAAAAATGGATCAGAAAGGGGACACCAAAAGATCAAAAGGTCGGCTTTGGGCAAGTAAGTCTAAAGGGACTGCTTGTCAACAGGAACATATCTCTGACATAGCAAAAGGCATTCCTCCAAGCCACACATATGTGCGACCGTGGCTGCTCAAGGTCAAAGCAAACTTGCTTTGTGACACCCAAAATGACCCAATGAATGTCCAGCCTGAGTTTGAGAGTGGAAGGTCGATGCTTTCAGAGAAGCATTCCTTGATAAATCAGCTGGTCGAGTCTTCTCCAGCGAGCATCCTACTCTGACAGTGTGATCAAAAGCGATAGCGGTTGGAGTCAAAATCCCTGGACAAGTCTGGCTTGTTCAATCAAGATCGAACAATGGAAGCCACGTGCTCCTCGAAACTCGTAAAGGCAGCTGGTTGATGCCAACGGTGGTTTCGTGACTTTCCTGCTGAAGTCTGAGCTAACATGCGCTGTCATATGGCCATGGGTCAAAATCCTGTATTTTCAGTGAACACCCCGATCCCCACGAAAATAAAGCCTAAAATGGGTGGTGCACCTACCCCAAAAATGGAATCTCATTGGTTTTGACAACCACAGCCATATGTTATTCCACAGCTACGGTGATGTCATGTCTGTGAGTGCCCTGAGGCCGTTGAAAGACTTGTCTGGAAAAGGCTTTTGAGGTGACAGGTATGTCCAAAACGGGGGTTCCCGAAAACAAGCCACACCCGGGGGCCCAAAACGTTGCCTCGCCTGGCGGATCTTGGCCAACTGGTTGTCGATGTCCAGCAAGAACTCGCTGAGCCTGGCCTGGCGGTTTTGTTGAGCTAGGCCAAAGAAGGCCCCCTCCCCTTCCGCGTGGGTGTGTGCATATTCATGCATGTACTGGGTTGGTGAGAAGGGGGGCTATATATGAGGGGAAGGTTTGTGGGGGTAAGTATACTTTCCTTTGAGTGGGTCCCCTTTCGCTTCATTCCCAAAACACACGCACAAATTGATTCCCGACTGAGGTGGCTCTTTACAAATGCCGATTCCTGCCATATTGCAAGAAACCAATGACCTTTTTAGGTTAGCTTGGTTAAAGATAAATGGGGTTCACCGGTTTAGATGTGATTCAATTTACCAGGGCCATCGATTTTACCAAAAGGACCTTGGCTCCAATTTCCATAGCTATTTCGGTGGACCCCGTTGCAATGGGGTGCAGAACAAAAAATCCGAAATACTCACTTTCGGAGAGTACAGGATTGTCGTTTTTTGGGAAATTGAGGGCTCGCTTTGCTGACAAGTCCCACACACAGTACTGGTTCGGGAAAACTACACTAATTCCCAATCTGGAAATAAGGGGACCCCTAGTGAGGGCCCTTTGTCACGGGCGCGTTTTCACCCAGCTGTGCTCGGTATATGCCTATACTCATCTGAAAGCACTCCATGTCTCGGACACCACATGTGAGAATGGAAAGCCATTGCCGTCTTTGGCCCCCCGCTTCCTTTTGCAAGGAGCCATCATTTTGTCATTGCCGTAAGCCCCGCTTGCTGGCATGTGGGAAGTTACAGGTATCCCTACATTTCCCATGTTTGATAACTCAAACACAATGTAGACATACATCTTTGCGAGGCCATCTGAAGTGCTTTTTTACTGTGCTACAAACGGGGCTGCCAATTTCGGAGGGCACTCTGGCGGCAACAGGAGCATGCATTTGACTTGGTGGGGACATCATGCGAGCATGGTTGCGTTCATATTCACCAACCATTTGTGAGAGGGCTTCCACCAGAATCAAACAAATGGAAAAATTATAGTTAATTGACAACTGTGAATGTACACATGCTTATATATGTATAATCCACAGAAACGCCAGGGAATTCAAAGGACTTCAACCCTAGACCAAGGATATAAATATTGTCTGGCATCCTTTTAGCAAAGGGCCAACGGAATTCATGTGGGAAAAACATGCCTTTCCTCCAGAGATCCTCTCTCTAAGGAGGGGTTATGAGGCAACTCCCATAATGGGCGTTGATCAAAAAAGGTCATTTACATGTGGTGACAAGCAGGGACACTACAAACAAGATGACTTTCACCTCTAAATGGGAAAAACAAGTTCCCCATGGTCACTTCGGGTCCATTGATATTGATCAACCCCCATATTTGCCTTTCTCAAAGAAGCTTCGAAGGCAAGCACACCGCCCCCCCAGCCCAGCCCTCAGCCGCTGCTTTTTTCACCCGCGTTTCTGCGAGTCTACCCAGAGATCGCGCCATCTCGCCACCAGCTCTGTGGCCTTCTTTACCTCAGATTGAGTTGGTGGCACAGGTTGCTTTGCTTCAACAACATTTCCTTGCGTTGCAACAGTTCTTGCAAAACGACAGGGAGATTCAGACTGAGCGCTTTGATAACTTGCGGTTGCGCTTGAGTCAGGTTCTTGGGCCCCTTCTTGGCTGAGCAGCAACAAGATGGTCGTGCCTTCCTTGACGGCCGAATGTTATTTGTCCAAAAGACATTTGAAGACATGACATTTTGGAATATGTTCAAAGTTGCCTAGTCTGCGTCATAGCAAGTCGATATGCTAAACCTCAAAGCAGTGTACAAGGGCCTGCTCCAGCCTACAGCTTGCATATCCACTGGCCGCCCATGACAGGGGTTGACCAAACCGATGTATTTGACATTGCAGTAATGGATTGTCCTGCATTTGTGATGAGGAGTTGTCTGTAAAAAGTACGGCTGCCTCAGTTTGGCTTTAGCTAAAGCTGGGTCGATGAGTCCATCGACAGCTTGAGACAGGGTTCAGCCTCCAAATATGTTCTTGGCTTCAACACTGCAAATGAACATAAAGCCTCAACATCACTGACATCAGGGAAACACCCTTATGATTCCGCCTTAGGCCCTCTACAGATTAGGACGCCTTTTGGGTGACCCCCTTTTGGGTGACCCCCTTTTGTGGATGCATGTTAACTTTCTGAGCATGCAGCCACCGCAGCGTTCTCAGAGTAGGTTTTCCTGGATGCGCAAGAAGGATTGCTTGCTGAGGGCTCTATACTGCATAGCAATCGAGTCAATGTCCCAGATGTTGCCAATTGGTCAAACAAATGCATAGCCACATATGCGTAGCTTGCAACATCATATGTGTGTTGCTTGGCTCAGATGCCCAGTGGCGATATATTTTTTGTTGGTTGAGTTTAAAGGGGAACCCTCCCCAAAAAAAGGAAAAAAGACACCACTGGGCAGCATAGTTGGTTTACTTGTCGCAGGCCAGTAAACGAAGCCACGCATCACACATCCACCCGGCGCCAGCCAAAACTTTTGAGGTGGACTGGAGCATCCGAGTTTCACTGGGAAGGGGCCAACCCCATGCTGCAACCTCAGCCCAAAGGACCCAGAAGAAAAAGGTCAACCTACTGGGTCCATGACTAAAACTGGACCAAAATGGCATTTGATTCGCTTTGGGCAACTGAGCAACATGTCTAAACACCTAAGGATCTTGTAACTTCGGCTTTGAGCAAACCCTGGAACATCCCCCTGTTGGTTCTCATGTGAAAAGGTGGCCATGGCTTTCACAAATTCTGCAACGAACGTTGCTTGGAACTGCTGGTTTTCTCGGCATCCCATATGTGGGTTGTGCGAATTGTAGGATCCCGATTTCCTGTTGGCATTCCTTTAGACACATACTTGTAAGAGCCACGCAAACATCACTGTTCAACTCACTCCCTGAGTGGATTTGCAAAACAAAAGTCCAAACTTTGCATTTACCAGTAACTAAAATGGTCTTCCCAAAAAATTGAAAGTCCAGGAACTCACGGAGTGAGTCCATCTGTTCAAGGAAGCTGATGCACGGTCTCAAATGCAACAAGCATGCTGTTCTGCACTGCACAGGGCACAACTAGCACACACACCAGAGGTGTGCGAGCGTACAGGTAGAAATTGTACTACGGGTGTGCTTAAGACATGTTTAAGACACAGTCTCATTCAACATTGTTCTTCAAAGGATCCGACAAGGCGCTGAAATGATATCTAATCTCAAACATGCTGTGTGGAATGCCGTCCCACCCAAAAAAACAACCAGCTTGCTGGGCCCAAAACTATCTCGCACTTACACGGCCCACGTCCAACCTCTAAAACACACGTGGGTGGCACGGCTGCGTACCTACATGCTCGGCACGGAAGCCAAAGTGAGATCTTGTGGAAGCCATGGCCACGATACCTCTGAAAGATCTTTTTACAACATATAAACAATTAAATACATAAATGAATAAACAAATGAACAATAAGATCAAATCAATTACACCACCGAAGACCCCAAGCAGTTTCAACCAGACCTCATGAAACGTAGCTTGCGGCAGGGCACTTTCCTGGAAAAGGCCCAGTTGAACTTGAGCAGCCAACATATACAACATATAAAGAGAGACAAGGGGAGACAGAGCGCCGTCCGACCTTGACCGGCCCTGCAGCACAAATGAAGACAACACAAGGGGAGACAAAGCGCCGTCCTACCTTAACCTGCCCTGCAGCACTCATGAAGGGAGACACGGGGGAGACAAAGAGCTGACCGAGCCAGACCATCTCGTGAGGGCATCCAGACCAGTGGAAACAAGTGGGGAGACAAAGGGCTGACCGCGCTGACCGAGCCAGACCATCTCGTGACAGAATCCAACCCAGCAAGCGCGTGACAAGTCAGAAGACACTTGGAAACAAGTGGGGAGACAAAGAGCTGACCGAGCCAGACCATCTCGTGACAGCATCCAGCCCAGCAAGTGAGAAAACAAGTGGGGAGACAAATGGAAACAAGAAGGGAGACAAAGACTTGTGACCGAGCCAGACCATCTCGCGACAGCAGTCAGCCCAGCAAGCGCGTGAGGCAAACATGAGCGCTTGAAACGCACGGGAATCGGCGCGCGCGAAGAGGGAAGGGAGAGCGCGCAGCGCGCAGGACTGGGGCAAGAGACGGAGCGCGTGGAGCGCGAGAGAGTGCAAGGGGTGTGTAGAACAAAGAGCTGAGTGAGCCAGACCATCTTGGGGCAGCATCCAGACCAGCAAGCGTGGGGAAACAAGTGGGGAGACAAATGCAAACAAGAGGGGGGAACAAAGGGCTGACCAAACCAGACCATCTTGCGAGAGCCCAGCAAGCGCGCGAGGAAAGAAGTGGGAGGACAGTCTGACCGAGCCAGACCATGTCGTGACAGCATCCAGCTCAGCAAGCGCGTGAGAAAACAAGTGGGGAGCCAAATAAAGACTAGCGGGTCAGACAAAGACCTGTGACCGAGCCGCGACAGCAATCAGCCCAGCAAGCGCGTGAGGTAATTAACATGAACGAAACGCACGGGAATCGGAGCGTGCGGCGCGCGCGGGAAGGGCAGGGACCCCGCGGAGCGCGCGAGGGGAAGGGAGCGCACGCGGAGCGCAGGACTGGGCAAAGAGCGTAGCGCGCAGGATAGTGAGAGAGCGCAAAGGCGAAGAGGGCGACGAGCCAGACCATCTTGTGACATCCAGACCATCTGACCGAACAAGACCATTTTGTACAGCATCCAGCCTAGCAGGCCCGTGAGGAAAGAAACAGTGGAAAAGGCGAAGAGTGAACCGAGCCAGACCATCTCGTGACAGCATCCAGCCCAGCAAGCGTGAGAACCCAAGTAGAGAGACAAGTGGGGAGACAGAGACTTGTGACCGAGCCAGACCATTTCGCGACAGCCATCAGCCCTACAAGCGCATGAAGCAACATGAGCGCACCAAACGCACGGGAATCGCCTCTGCCGCTGCCTTGGACTGGCGCGTTGCCGGTCTCCTTGACCTTCTACTCTGCCGCCGCCAGGAGGAGCTGCGCCTCCCCCCAAGGTCGGCGGGTACTGCGGCGCAGTCGTGATCTGCAGGAGCGAGGTGCCCATGAGCTTGATCAGGCTAGCCAGGCTGGTGCCTCGGACCGCCGAGAACGCCATGAAGGCCTTGCCCGAGGCAGGAGCTCCAGTCGCGTGGCCTCGCCGCTGCTCTCCGCGGGCCACCAGGCGACATGGGCCTCGCCCGCGCCCTTCTGCTCGGCAAGCGGCGCCTCCGACAACTCGAAACCGTGGCTGCCGGCCATTGCGCCGAAAGTCCTTCAATTCAGTCTCGGGTGACAAGGGGAGACAACGGGAGACAAAGGAAGACAAGGCGGCAGAAACCTGTCCAACCGAACCCAGCCTGAAGCACATAAAGGGAGACAAGGGGAGACAAGGGGAGACAAAGGGAGACAAAGAACCCGTCCAACCGAAGACAAGTGGACCACCTCACAGCGTCCAGCCCAGCAAGCGCGTAAGTGAGGAGGCAAAGAGCCGACAGAGCCAGTCCATCTCGTGACAAACGGGGGGGGGAGACACACAAACAAGTGGAGAGACAAAGAGCTGACTGAGCCAGACCATCTTGTCACAGCATCCAGACGAGCAAGCGCGTGAGGAGACAATTGGGGAGACAAGGAAACACCAAGCCAGACCATCTTAGAGATATGAAGAGACAAGAAACCGAACCGAGTTTGGAGCACATATTTATGAAGGGAGAGACAAAAGGGAGACAAGGAGGCAGGAACCCGTCCAACCAAGTTTGGAGCACATATGAAGGGAGATAAGGGGAGACAAGGGGAGACAAGGGAGACAAAGTGGAAGGAACCCGTCCAGACGAACCCGTCTATCTTAAAAGAATCAAGATCCCCTACAGTAAATCGCTTGGGGAATAAATCAATAGATAAGAATAGTAAAGAAGAATAACGCTATCATGGCTGGTGAAGGCCAATGGTTCAGAGTCTACAGCCCACAAAACCCAGCAGATCTGACCATGGATCCATGTCAAAACCAGCAAACAATGCGTTCACAACTCCAACAGCCCGTGCACCCCTGAAGCAAATCAAAAGTTGCGCCCTTCTCAAACAAAGCATCGTTTCTGCACACCGACTCTGACTCGAATCAGCCTCAAGCGGTTGACCGTAACGCCGATCTTGGTGGACAGGAGTATGTCCGCATCCACCTCGCCAGAAGAACGCGGTAAAACGGACGGGAAGTTGGCAGCATACACAGCACTGCCATGCAATACACTTGCATTCACGTGAATGCTTTATTGATCAGCCTCTCTCTAACCCGATGAAAGTAGTGGTGTTAACTGGTGGTTTGGAGATTTTGCGAGCAGTTTCCACTTTCCTTCCACAAGAACGAAGCGTTCAAATCCCAAACCGCCAATTCAAATCCCACAACTAAGGGTCACCTGAATTTGAATGTTTGTCCAACATAGACCGCCAACATCCTAGTTGCGAGTATTGCAACCAGCAACCCCCCCATTATGGACGGTTCCGAGAGCGTTGCTCCACACGGGTTTACATTGCTGATGATGTGTCACGCAAAGACAATGCCTTGGACACTCGACCATTGGCCCAATTGAACATTCATGGCAAAGACCACTTGCTGCCTCACTTCCCAAGTTGACTGGCCAAAAAAAGTTGGAACTTTTTTTCCAAAAAGTTTAAAGTCCACCAACTCAGGAAGTGATCACCACCGTGGATGGACAAAATGCTGAACATTCCATGAAACCACTGGGCTAAACCGCCTGGCAACTGGTGACCTCGGTGCCAAACGAACTGGCCTGCTGCGGGGTCCGACCCCATGTTTTGTCTTGGGGCGCGGACGCACTCCTTCTCCAGGTAGGCCAGCACCTTCAATGCCTGACCACTCAGGTTGCTGTTTGCCATAGGGTCAAACAAGTTCAAACTGTTTGTTTGCCTCTTTTCAATCAGCTTAAAGTCCATGAACTCAGGGAGTGAGGTATTGCAGGAATGAACAACCAACAGCAGGTTCTAGCCGACGTGCATACACCCCCGAGCAAGAACCCACTCAAAGATAGTATCGATATTGGACCCTTACACTTTTCAATAATGAGATGGCATCCTCAAACCATGCCGTCTTTATGGACTTGTCAAAGGTGTCCAACCTCCACTCCGCCAGTTGAAGCGCCCCATTTCTGATGTTTGAGCGCATGGCTTGTTTTTGGCCGAACATTTGGGTCACTAGGAAACTCCATCTATGCAGACTGGTTCACTTTGCCCTTTGGCAAAGCCACAAGTTTGAAGTTTGAGGAGGTAGACAGAGTTTACTCCCTGTGAACAAGGGAAACCCTGTGATTTATATCTTGTTGGAATCAAGCGCAGCGTTTACTCACCGGGCAAAGGACCGTTGAATAGAAGGTTAGCCATTTTTTGGAACTTTGACTAGACTAAAACAGATGACCAAACTCTAAGATCAAGAAGTCAAATCGAGGGTCTGCATAGGAACCTCCACATCATTTGCTCCCTTGCGATCCGTTTGTGGGACAAGACACGTCTGTGGGTCAACAATAAATGCCCGAACTGGAACCTCGGCAAATGGAAGCATGGACTAAAACCTGCAGTCTAGTTTGATTTTGACCACCACACCCACATAACCACAAAATCCTGATCCACTTGCTCGTCCACTTGCGGCGGTTTGCGGCGGTTGCTCGTATCAAAAATTCCGGCCGGGGGCCCCCGGCCTTCTCCGCCGGCATCGGCGGGGTGCCTTCCAGTCGCCTCTTGGCCTGACGCGGACCGGGAGTCCCCCAGGTACCTGAGCCGTCCTCAGATCCCCCGCTAAAAGGTTTTAGCTTTCAGTGGGCTAAATGGAAAACCCCACTGAACACTAAAAAGCTAGAAAGCTAAGGAACCGGATGGCTGGGAGCCAACAAGGTACGCAAACCTTCTGCATGTTTACCTCGAGGTTTTACATGGTTTTCCTTGATTACCTACTACATGGCAAGTAGACGCAATGGATCCCCCTCGAGCATCCGGCAGTTCAAGTCCGGCATGTTTTCTTCTAGAGGTCCAATATGTCCTCCTTGAACATCCGAGGGAAACTCGGGCAAAAGGTGTTGACACCGCCCAAACAAAACAGACAGGGACATCATGTTGGAGGGACACATCAAAGCCAAAGTAAGAAGGGGTTGGTGATGGCAGAGTTGATCCCTCCCAGCCGAATGAGGTTGTGCCATCTTCGCTTGTGTGCAAGATGGGATTGCCGGAAGGTGCGTGTTGTCACCCCATAGCACTGCCGAAGCGGGCTAGACTTTGCCTGTACTAGACTAATATACTTCGGCAGTGAGTCGAGTTGCTTCCAAAGCACCAGCTAGAATAGAAATCAAGAGGTTCATGGACCCAGATACACTCTCTCCAGCAATGGAAGCGAATAGAAGGGTTTGGAAGACCATCTTGAAAACGCAGGTCCGTTGTCCAATTCCATTTGGAAAGAGCGCAATAGTTAACTCGCATTTTTGGGAATAAACCCAGCGGTCCCCTTCAAGCAAGCCATACGCGATGGTTTATTGGGATCATTCCCTCAATCCTGCTGAGCACCAGCAAGAACGGAGGCACCTTCCGATTGGAGTTCCAATCTAACATCAAATGCTCCTTGAGAACACTCCCCATACCTGCACCTTCTGGGGGTCCAAAATTTTAGGCGTTGGCAAAAAACATGTTTTTTGTTTTTGCCTTATGAAAAAAAAGCTTTTTGGGCGAAAAAAACGCCGGCGGTCATATTTGTTTGCACCGCGGTCGAGAATGTTCGCCTGCTGGTCGGGAATGTTTGCCTGTTGGTCGGGAATTTTTGCCTGTAGATTCGGGGAGATTGCGCTTAACACCCAAATTGAGCAACAAAGGCCGTGGGCAAAAACACGCGCAATTGCCCCAAAAAGCAATTCGTAGCGAAAAGCCGAAAATTTTGAGCATGCAGGAAGGTCCAGGTATGACTCGGGCTTTCCACGAGGATTGAACATCACCGGGTGAACGACGTCAAGTATGATGGTGTACCACGTCACAACCCAAAACTGACTCACTTTTATAGATGTTTCTCTTCCTCCGCATATCCGTCCTCTGCTGAGCACCAGCAATGGGTCACTCTCATCTTCGCATTTCTTACTTCCGGCCCGCCGACTCTACGCACACAGGCCTTCTCAAAGATCTGAAGAGGCGGCGCCTCTGCGAAGCGCAAGCGGTGAATCGCCGCCCTATCCCAAACGGGTATGAATTTAACTCCCTTCCTGAGTGGATGGTCCAAACAAAGTCCAGGACTATTTTTTGGGCCACGAAAATGGCCTTCCCAAAAAAAGTATAAAGTCTGGGAAGTGAGTTAATGGGGGGACCTTTGGTGGACATCACTTAGGTGACCACTTAGGTGGGGATTTATGTCCACCGACAACTTTTGAGGAGGTTCCTTATCAAACGGCTTGCAGAACGGAACGTATTCCAAAAGGCGTCAATACATGTTCATGTTGGTTGGCAAAAAAAAACAATGAAGCTCTCGAAGCAAATAATTCACCCGGAACTTGTCCAAATTACGGCTTCTACTTCTTGGTTGCTGTTGACCCCTCTGCAAACAGTTTAACATTTTGTGGGTCCAATGGAAAATCCAGTTTCCCAAAAAGTTGAAGTCCAAAGATCCAACCAAATAGCCTCGAAAGGCGGCACCAAGGTCCACAAAAAAACAAAAAACTATTTCTGATAGACCCCCGGTCCCTCTTCCACACAGTGCTTAGGGTATGGGGCAGCCGCTAGCGTAATATCATATCCATAGCAAAAGAATAAGTTTATACGACCGAGGCCTCAATTGTCCAAAGGCCATACACGTCTGCCCAAGCCACTTCCGCAAACGATTCAAACTGCATGCTGTCACTACTGTTGATGGACAAAAACCGACTTGCATCAGTTGGGATGGCTGAAACCCTACAAATACTGGGATAACGCACCAAACAACTGGTGCCGATGAGCATGAAGATTGTGCCCCTTTGAACGTCAGCCCAGCGAGAAAGTCTTGAAGTTTGCCCACAAGGAACCACTCAACACAGCATAGGACCCATCCCATATGTGTGTCTGTGTTGGAGGTACCCTTTTCAGCTTGGCAGTTTTGTTAGCTGAGTTGTAGGGGGCAGCTTTTGGACTGGTTCTGAGGTTGAATGGGGTGGTATCCGGGAACCTTCGGGTTGCAGGATGGCGGGGAGACCCATGGGGCCCAAGGAGGCCCACTGGCAAGGCCATTGGCAGGGCAAACATGGCTGTGCAGCGTTCATCCGCCGGTAAATTCAATGACCCGAAAGGGGATGCTGACCCAAGGGATGCTGACTTTTTGACTTGAACATATATATAGATCTATTCTCTATGTGGACACCGATCTGGGTGGCAAAGCTGAGACAACACTTTCTTCAATCCATTAGTCTTGGTTGCTCTTGACCCCTCTAAGATTTTAGCTTTTTGTGGGTTTGATACGGAAAGCCCCTTGATTTCTTTCCCCAAAAGGTAAAGTCTACAGATCCAACCCAATAGCAATCCAGCGCTGTATCCTCTGACTCTAGCTATGCTAACCCAGAAGCCCCCCAGGCACCTCGGTTCGCTCCTTCGCCGGGGGGGCCTCCTGCGGGGTCGAACCCCGTCTGCGTTTGGATCGAGCCATGGGAACGAAAAAGAAACGGGTCCTGGACGTTTTTTTGTTGGGGACCCATGCTAACCACACCAGTTTTTCTGGTCGTTTTTTGGTTGGTGTCATTTTCAGGAACACCGAAACAACCAAGTTGGTTTCTTGTTTTTTGTATTGGTTTCACTTGCAGGAACATCCAAACAACAGCAACACAATGCAGGCGTCCTACCGGACAACTGGGTCCCGGCCACGTTATCATCCGTAGCACTGGATGGGCCCCATCGTGCCCCCCCGTTCGGCCCATGGAGGTGCCCCGCAGCGCCCCAACTTGCGCCCTGAAACAGGCACCGAAGCGGCTCGCGGGTTCCAAAGCTCCTGACTTACCGGAGGTGGCGATCCCTTCGCTTTGTCCGCCTGACAAGCATGGCCGGGATTTCAGGCGGTTTCAGGCGTGGGATGGCTGGAAAAAAGGTGGACGAGGCGTGGCCGACATTCTAAAATGGAACCTAACGTCAACAAATTCATGTGACAGTCTGCAGGATCCTGATCTAAAACAGCCAAAGAGATAGCATATCGTTCTTTGGAGGGAAAGCAAATTTGACATGATTGATATCTGCAAATAATCGTCTCATCAGAAGCGCTGAAAGCCGAGGCAATCACGACTCAAGTGCATTACAACATATGAATTGCGCAAAATTAGAATGACGGTATGCTTCTATACCTGGGCCGGAGTTCCGTCCCCCCTAGAGTACCATGTTTCAAAAAACAACATTCTGTGGACCGAAGGTTCTTACCTGACTCGAAGCCACAAGGAAAGCCCTTGCAGGCCAATAGTGACTATTTGGGGACCCCCAAAATGGTGGTGTCCCTTTGCGTTTTCTTTGAAACCCCGAACAAAAGAGGGTACCCTCAAAAAAGAGACGCCCCCAAACGTATGTTCAGATTCCCAGCTAGTCTACCCCAAGCTATAAAATAGCTTTGGAGCAGCTCTTGGCGGTTTTTGTTGGGCGGCGCTAAAGACCAGCTTCTTGGGCCAGACCTTCCGTGGCTCGTAGCAAGCTTGCGATCGCTATCGGCGAGGAATGAGAAATGGGATGGGCCCCAAAAAAAAACACCATCCCCGATTTAGTGTCTTTTACCGGAATCCCCTTCCGGTTCAAATCCCGAAATCCGGAAGGTCATTCCCCTACTGAGCAGCAGCGAGGCTTGAAACAAACAAACCTGTTCATGACGGTTGGTGTTGCTGGGTACTCAAAGTGTGTTGGCGGATGGTAAAAAGTAGAATTCCGTGCGGTTGGAAAAGACGAGGGGATGAGGGTGTGTCTCAAAACAGGGGACCCCAAATGACAGGTTGTCCTTTGGTTGTCCTTTGAGCCAGAAACCAACCCGAAAATGGGTACCAACTCAAACAAACACACCATGGGGAATTGCGCCATCTACGTTCACCTACACGTGGCATGCTCTTGGGGGTGCATCCGCCAAAGCAGCACCATACCCCCCCCCCCCATGTCTGCCTCCGGAGTCGGGACAACGCCCGACTTCTCCTCAACCTCTGACCATGCAGCCTGCGCTCAGTGCGTGTCTCATTAAAAGACGGAAGCATGGCCACAATATATGGTCCTACGCTTTGGAGCCGGTTCTCTTTTGTTGGGTTGGTTTAGAGGCAAACCAAAAGGGGAAGAAAAAAACGCTTTTGGGAATTCCCCCAAGGGCCCTAAGGTGCTTCTTTGGTTTGCGGTCCCGCACCTTCTGAAAGGAACCTTTAAGTCACTGGCGAGTCGTGGGGTCATGACCTCGCACACTCCTCTCCCCTTTCAAGACCGCGCAAAATTGGCCCAATGACATGCTCCAGAGCACTACGATGCCCAAAAATAGCCATTCCACTGTTTGTGACAACTTCCGCCGTCCGCCGTGCAAAATCAACATCCACTATGCCCTTCTCCCCTCCGTGCCGGGAGAAAGGAACCGGAGCTTTCTCCAAAGGTGAAGGAAAACTCCCCAAAAACTCTGATCCAGCTCTCAGAACCGGAAGATCCGATTTGTGGGTGACAAAAATGGTGAAGGAAACCCCAACATGGCTTGCCCTAGCAAATGGAGAAGAAAAAAAAAAAGACGCTAGCTCTCCGGGATGAAATGTTCTTTACACGTATGGCTGTGGGTCAAACATAGGTACCCGAAATGGAGCCCTAAATGGAACCAAGAACCAAAACCTGCGGTCCAATTCCAAACTTAAAAACAAGCACCCATACCCATCTGCTGCTTTCCCATTGAGGACCCCTTAGGCATCCCCGCCAAAAATCGGGAAAGCGATCCGATCATCGGCGGAGAATACCCATTTTGGTTTACGTTTACAACCCACACTGGCATTGCAACTTTTGTACATTGGGGTTGTCTTTGACCACTGAAGTGTGGGTTAAGCAAAATGTTACCCCAACATTGCCACAGTTGGCATGTTCTTGATTCTGCCCCCACACATAAGCCTTAAATAAGAGGGCTTGCTGCCCTTGGATTGAAAATCCATGGTTGGGCTCCACCACCAGCTCCTTTTTGCACTGCAACAATCCACACATCTTTGTTGCAAGGAAAAGCAGTTGCATTTGGTCTGAATGAGTCTCATTTTTCATCTTAATAAACAATCCACAACCAGGCGATGGTATAGAGTAGCGCGCAATGACTGAAAAAGACCTGGCCGGGCCATCAAAGTTGGGGCGGTTCAAATCCCCCGTGGAGACCACAAGTCCGGCGAAGAACATGCAACTCCCGTACACACTCCCGTGCGAACGAACGAACCCACCAGCCTGAAGATCGGGGACCTGGCCTCGAAGAACGCGGATTTTTTTGCGCTATGAGAAGCATGTCCCGTGAAACTCGTCGATCAGCCCACAACAAATGACTCATCCAAGAGCCTCTATATGTGGGATGGCAATCACAAGACAACCAGGAAACGGGTAGGGGTGTTTACTACTATTATGATTTTCCTTCTTCTTGATTTTGGTTCTTTGAGAGTGCCTTTTTTGGGCTCTGCAGAGAATCATTGAGGTTCCTCCATTAAACACACCCCAACCACTCGAATATCCTCGAGCTGCACTCAGTGAAGCCACTTCCACACGGATGAGTTGAAATTCTCACCTGACTTCCAATCAACACCTAGTAAGCATGTGGTCGACGCAAAAGCCATGTAAAGGAACTAAAGGCTGCAATGCCGGACCTAATTGCGGCCGGGATTGTCCCTTCTACTGTTCTACTCTGGGTCTACACTCTACTTGACCCAACCTGATGGACATTCAATTGTCCAGTGACCCTGGAAAAAAAGGGAACCCTTTGTTGGGAAGGCCATTTTTAGTGGGGCAGGCACCAAAAAAAGGAGGGTGCGCTGAACAACTGACTGCTCTACTCTGGGTCTAAATTCTACTTGACCCAAACCTGGTGGACATCATTCACACGGGGACTTGTTCATTTTGTGGGATGCTCCTTGTTCTTTCTTTCCGATGGCCTGGCTGGGGGCATCAAATCCCCAGCTAGACAAACAACAAATCAACTGCAGCATGTGTGCTTGGTTGACGTTGGAAGGGGATCAAAAACTAAAACAACACACTTAAGTGGTTGGATTTCAACCACTAAACCACAATAGGCAAAAATGTAAAATGTTTCCCAACAACAACCATGGAAAGGGCGTCCACAACTTTCTCAACAAAGTCAATATTCAACTTGGGATTTACTTGGAACATGTGCTTTTCAAACATGACCAGGCTTGAAAAAGCTTACGAAAAGCCGTGCACGGGCCCCTCGCAAAACCGGCTGCCCCTGAGTTTGCGAGTCTCTGGAAAGGATCCTGGGATATGCGCAAGTTAACGCAAACGGATATACTTGGCTGAGCCCAATGGCTCAAACACTTTTTTCAAACAGTTGGACCCCAAACAATTGGTGTTGTTGTTTTTTTCTCAAAAAAATGGACCCCTAAAATGGGTGGGTTTCCCTTGTGGTTTCCAAGCAAGAGGTGCCCAGACAAAACGGCATACCCCATTGCAGCAAATGGGTGGGTTCCCTGTTGGTTTCCAAGCAAGGTTACCCACAGCTCTTCTTCCTGAGTCATGATCATGCCACGTAAGAAAGTTGACATAGTGATTCACTCTGTTCGGGGGGAAGCCGCGTTCTTCGGCATAGGTGTCGCCTTCAAGTGCATCGGGGTGCAATCCTCTTGCTTCCAAAACTTGGGACAGCATTTTGGACAAGTCGACAAGTAAGTACATGGATTCCCAAAAAAGCTTTGGCGCTTCTTTTTGGCTTTCCTTTCAACCAAAGTCCAAGGGGCAGCCATGTTGGATAGCTTGAAGAACTACAAGCCAGATCCTTTTGCAGGGCCTATGAAGCAACACTGAAGAAGTGTTTGTTCCTTTTAACCCTGACAAAAAACACCATGGCCCTCGCTCCCTTCCTCAGATCCCCCCTGTGTCCCCTATCTTAGTGCCCTGCCCTCGGACGTCGATTGCGGTGCCTGAACCCAAAACCAAGACCCGGGCTTGGTCTGCCTAAAAATTGGAACAGGATGCCTGTTTGGCTGGGCTTTTCATGGGACACCGAAGGCCCGTAAAGCATTTTGCAAGTCCCACATGGCCATGGGTCAAAATCTACCCCAAAATGGCACCATGGGGGGCCCATGGCAGCACCTGTTCAAGGGCCAAGAATGAAAGGTTGCCCTTCTTCCCGCGCTCAGTCATGAAGGAAGACTACCAAATCAAGGCTTCTGTCTGCATGTTTGAACAAAACTCCCAGAAAGTGGTGAATTCTTCCAAGTGTCATTTGCTGCGAACATTACTACACATAAACTGGTAACGTGCCCCCTCCTCCGTGCATGCTTTCCCTTACACCCATCCGTGAAGTGGCCTATGAACCCCAGGTGACCATTCATGATGGCTGTATGGGAAACCGGACGCCTAAGGGGGCGAACATGGCCATGGGTTTGCTGGGCAGCCCACCCAATGCCTCTCGCATGAGCCAATGCCAAAGCGCTGCACCGTAAGACTAGCAGTCTTAAAAACCAACACATGGGCATGTGTCAAAATGAGAGGCCTGCAGAAATGACAGTTTTCCACATGGTGTCCCTTTAAAACCAACCCAAAAACGGTACCCTACAAACAAGTTCAAGCCTCGGCCAAACTGTAACGCATTAAGCTTGCCTAGGCCTATCACGCGTATGTTCAGGTAAGGATGTTGGAGGTACGAAGGTTACACAAACATGTTATATATATATACATGTATACCGCTTATATAAGGATAATATACTCCATGTTAAGCTTATATTGGTGGCATATAAGCATCCATACCACCAAACACCATGCTTGAACATGATGTTGAACCTACACCCCCAAAAACACATTACTACAAAGCCACACGAATCACAAGCCCGAAAAGCAAGCAATGAACCGACCATCCGACCATCAACCTAAGATCTTCTGAGATATTTGACCACGAGTGGCCCAAAAGCTGACCAGTGCATGGGTGTGTGTGTGTGTGCAAACGGAGCACCGCCATTTTGGGGTACCCCAACAAGAGACGCCCGCCAGTTCATCTAGACAAACGGTGACAGGGACACGCCTTGCTTTTCGAGTGACACCCTGCTATGGCGATGCTCGGGGGTACAGTCAGGTTGTAAAGCCCGAGCCCGAGCGTTGTTGAGACGATCCAAACAAAATGGCTTCTGGAATCTTGCTCACTTCCTGAGTTGATGGCCCCACAAAGTCCGAATTGTTTGTTAGTGGTAAATGGTCTTCCCCAAAAGTTTAAATTCCATAGATTATGAGTTGAAAACATCCCGAACATGGACATAATCAACAGCTTAGTACTGCAAGATTGTTTTATATGCGCGCAAACTGCGCAATTCTCAGTTGTTCAGTGACCCTGGAAAAAAGGAACCCTTGTTGGGGAACACCATTCTTAGTGGGGCAGCCACCAAGAAAAAGGGAAAAAGGGTGCCACTGAACAAATGAGTGGGGTAAGAACCCGAAAGGCCTGCTGATGTTCATACCCCTCTCCCCAAAAAGAATATAAATCCCTTAAAAAGTGGGTCTTTGCGGTTCCAGCAACTTTCAACAGAGTACAGTAACTGAGTAACGAGCTCGACGAACATCCGGTTTCTAGGTTACTTGCCATTTCCAGTTGGCGCTTCAAGGCAAAACAAAAGAAACCCAAACATTTGTAAGGGTACCCTATTGTTTTGGACACACCCCCTTGAACGCACATTTGTTAGCCACAAAGCGCAGCGTAAAGCGAAGCATAAAACCATCAATGTTCACCGTCAACAGCTCTAGAAAGGGGATGGTGTTGTGTAGACGCATCAAGATATCAACTAAACAACTGATGTCATTCGGACACATGCAGTGATATTTACTGCCTTCGGCACACATGGAAAAGGTCCAAAAGGAGGGGCTCAAAACGCGGGGTTCCGATCATCCGTTGGCTGACATGAGTTTACTGGCCAAAGCTCACTGTGTTGGCCTGCACTTCTTAACCGAAAGTTTGCGTTTATCAACTCAGCCATGTAAGTCGGACATTCTGTGGCTCAAATGCGCAGTGGCCATGGGAACAAAGGGCATCCAATTTTAGTTAGTTGATTCTAAAGGGGAACCCTTCCCAAAAAAAGAGAAAAAGGGGCACCACTGGGCAAGCGGGGTGGCTTTTTTGTGGCTCTCTTGCTTGCATTATTGCGGATGTCCGGATTTGTCTGCTTCCCGCGGCTTTTCAAGTCTTCGACCATTGCCATATGCCCCTCGCTTTGGTTCACGCATCCAAGCATCGGCGCCTCAGTCGATGGAGCCTCAGCCTCTGGTGCCTCGTCATCCGAGTCGGTGACCTCATGCGCTCGCCAGAGGAGAAACCCTCCGCTCCTAGGAAACAAGGCTGTCCTCAGACCCCTACTAAAAGCTTAACTTGTTGAATAGAATCTACCACTAAACCCTAAAAAGATGGAAACCTACCACAAACTAAGGGTTCTGAGAACCTGAAAGGGGCCCTACCGTTCCTTCTTAAACTGGCCTGCTGGCCCCGCCACGCCCGCCCCTTAGGTTTACATGAAGGGATGCTCTGAAATCTGTGGCGGACTTTTGTTTGGAGGACCGCTCGAATTTGAATCATCAATGGAATGACTAAGCCAATGCACTTGTGTGTGGGCGCAAAATGGGAGACCCTATATTAGGTTGTCCTTCAAACGTTTGAGGGAATGTCAAGATACAAAACAAGGTTTGGACCCCTCAATGGCAGCACGAAATGCTCGTTGGTAAAGGTCAGTGTTTCGACAGATCCCCCGCAGGTCGTGAGGCTTGTCAACATTGCAAGGTCGTTTGCCTTATTTGGCTTCCGCACCTTTTCTCATGCTTACGTGGGCAAAAACTGACCTGCTGAAGCAACTGACTCAAGGAACATGACAGCTGTTGCACTCGCAGCAAAACCAAGAGCCCTATCATCCAACAGTTCAAAGCTTGCAAATTCACCGGCTAGCAATGAACATCCAACAAAGACAGCACAAAATCCGGTTCGAAGCCCGTGACGTGTTGTTCGAAACTTTGCGATACGCTACCAAACAGGTGCCCCCTATGTGCGTCGGGGTCAAAATTAGGGATACAGTATACCCTTTCATGGATATAGGCAGATTAGAGCGTCCCCTGTTTTTGGAGCATGTAGCGAGTCCCTACCCCTGTGCTTAAGTTCCCTGGAAAACACGTATTTCCAGTAGTGATAGATGCCCTTCAAGAACCAACCGGGAGAAATCAACAGTATCCTTAGCCCACCTTCCGAGTGGACGGGCCAAAGCAAGTCCAAACCTTCTATTCACTTCTAAAGCGGTCGTCCCCAGAAGTGACTGAAGTCCGGAACTCAGGAAGTGCGTCAAGCAAAGGAAAGTATCCCGAAGCCCAACTAGGTCCTCCAGTAGAGAGGTTAGAATAAGGGTACCCTTTTTTTCTGTAGTCTATTTTAGTAGGGGAACCCTCCCCAAAAAAGAAACGGTAAAAGGGCACCTAGCTGGGGGACCTAGTCAAATATCGGTTGCTTTCTGTTCCCCTGCTAAAAGCTTAACTTTTAGTGGTTTAATGGAAAACCCATCAGTTGGAAAAAAGTTAAAGTCCTAACATCCAAGCAAAATGCACCAAAGACATCGATCATTGACCCTAAGCCCGTTTTCCGAGGCGCGATTCTCCGCAGCCGCCTCTTCTTTGCGGGGCTGACCGCCTGCGACGCCTTGGCAGCCAGCGAATTTCACTCGCCTTCCTTCAGCTGAGATGTTGAGTGTATTTTAGGGTTTCGTGTTTGCTTGTTTGTTCTTTAAACAAACTGGAGCCCCGAAACGCCACTCTTTTTTTTGTTGTTGTTTTTTTCAGTCAAAAGGCATAGTTGGCCCGTTTTTACCCGTAAAATAAGTTGTTTTTCCCGGTAGTTGCCTTAGGTGTCCGTATTTGGCCGTACAACACCCGTATTTTGTCGATAAAACATTGGTTTTTATTTTTATTTTTAAGCGAAGGAACACGTATTTGGCCGTATGACCATTTTTCGGGCAAAGTCGTTTGACAAAAAAAGCAGTGTTTTGGGGCCCCAGGAGTATGTTAGGTTGTTGCTGTATGGTTCGTAGTTATTATTTTGTGGCGTGGATGTATTTTTAGTTTGTTGCTTCAATTGTAACCTTTCACTATTATCATCAGTTGTTATGGGCGAAGCTCACTACCGCGCGCTTCGCGCCTTCCGCCCATCCATTCACATGATTTCTTGTTCAAATCGCCCACTACAAATGGCCCCAAAGCTTCCAACACCAACAGCACGTCTGCATGCAATGGCATGACTCCAGTCTCAATTAGAAGATTTAATCACAAGGGACGTCAAGTGCCGCTGATCTGTGCGAAAAGGCGATACCTGCCATTGTTCTGGGCCTAGGTCCAGGCCAGTGTTCCATAACCAGCTCCACTAACCTCAAAGAAACCCTCCCATTCTCAAAAGCCCAATGGCTATGGCAAGGAAAGCAAAAAAGGCGCCACTGGGTCTTTTCTGGGGGGAGGGGCCCAAAAAGTGTGGTTTTCCTTTTTGTTTCCCTTTCAAACAATCAAACAAGTCTCGGTTGCTTTCTGCTCCCTTGCTAAAAGTAAACTTTTAGTGGTTCAATGGAAAACACGTTAGTTGGCAAAAACTTAAAGTCCTAACATCCAAGCAACATGCACCAAACGAGCGGCAACCTCCAAAAAGACAAGCCCGAATCCGATCCCTCTGGGGGTCTTGCCGAAGTTGCGGCCGGCGCCGCTGGCGCCGCTGGCGCCGCCAACGCTGGCGGCGAAGCGACGGGTGCTGCCGTGGTGGGCGACTCCTGCGCATGCGTGCGGTGCTTGTGACGAGAAGGTGTTTGTTCTAGGGGTTGCTTCCCCATTCTTTTCCATCGTTCTTTTCAAAACCCGGAAGTTTCACCTGGGTTTTTGATGGTTTCCTGGAAAGAAACACGGATCCCTGGAAAGAATGGAAATGGAAGGTACCCCATGTTTTTTGTTTCAGGGCGCCGGCTCACTTTTTGATCCTGCTCTTGAAGACTCACATGAAACGCACATCGCACGTTTTCCGCTCAAAATCTGAAATGATCAAAATAAAACCCAACGCAAACAGTGACCAAGCAGAAAAGGTATTGATCATTCTGGCCAAATTATAATAATTTATATCTCGTGCCTCGATTGTTTTTAAACACATAAACAATCTACCTCGTATTTTGGGGCCTTCCTTGTCTCCTCAAATAAGGGCGGCAAACCTGCCAACACGCTCGCGCCAGCGTTGTGGCAAGACTGGCGTGGCCACCACTCTGTGGAAGCAAGCATTCCAAAAACAACGGTTTTTGAGAGACACGGTCCTTCTTGAGAACTCTCAAGCCCATTATTTTTGCTGTTCTTGGGCCCTGAATGAAGAACATGAGGGGCTGGGACAAATGCCAGTCTTAATGAGAGACAGGGAAGGGGCCAGCTTTTCTCAATCGTGTGTGTGCTTTGGTTTTTGAGAACCAAGAGCCAGTCTTCATGTGAGAGGGGTGGGGTCGGGTTTTCCCAAGCTTGGGTCTCAAATGAACTCTGCCGGCCCCCCTGCGCGTGCGCCGAAAAAATTAACAGAGTTGAAAAATCCATAATTCGGATACCACCTCGCATTTCAGGGTTTGGGGCTCGCCCGGGGCCAGTGGGCTTGCTATAATTTGGCCAGATCATTGCTGTTCCATTTCCTGGACAAATCAAATAATCTAAGCATCCCCAACATCATCATGTCGTGCATACTTAAGCCTGCGATACGCGAGATGCAAGCTTGTGTGGGCATGTGCCAGGATTGCTCTTCCTGATGTATTCCACACATTCTGTACTATCCCAGCGCTCAAACATGCCATGGGGACACGGCCCTGTCTCGCAGGGCAACCTGCCTAGGGCAAAGTTGCGCTACCCGTCGAAACACGGTGTCAACATCGATTCGTTCACCTCCGTCTGCCTCGGCAAGCAAACGGTTCAGTTCAAGATCATTTCGGGGCGTCAAACGGTCACCAGGAATGGAAGCCATGATCAATATGCAATAAGATGTAAATAAGGCCGTGTTCCCTTGCCTCCAGAAATGTGGCTCCCATTCCAGAAAATGGTCATTGAGCCAAACAAACTTGGCCCAACCCCGGTTGAAACTGTGCGCACCTTCGCCTCCCGCGCATCTCTCCACTCTTGTGGGTGCTTCGCCTGAGGCGAGCGGAGCAAGACCTGTGTATAAACAATCAGGCCAGGGCTGTGGGCAATGCCCACTTCTGTGATACAAGACAAAGGTCTCCCAAAGACTACCCCGCCATTTCAACCGGGGATTTCCTTGTATCACGGAAGTGGGGACAAACCCCTTGATCCCACAACCCATCAGGCCCTCACCTACGGAAAAGGGAAGGTTCCAACAGACAGTTGCAGGCCATCGATATTTGCCACCTCCAGCTTGCATGGCCTGTGCCAAAAGTGCAAGGTGCAAGGACACATCTGACCAAGCGCTGCTCGGCGCAGCTCCGAGGCCTTCCTTTCCGTAAACCCGGATCACGTCCGGTCAAAATGCAAATCGTACCCCCAGTGAACATCCCAATCCCCACTAAAATGGACTAAAATGAGTGGTGCACCTACCAACCAAAATGGGATCCAAAACGGTTTTGACAACCACGGCCTTTTTGTTAGGGTACCGGGAGATGGCCTGACCCTGGCGCAAAAAACTCGACCCAAGCATTGGCGGATGCAGTTTCAACCAGCTGATTTTGGGGTTCACCCCAGCGGATGAAACGGAACGGGCCTGAACAGAGCCACACCTACAACTCCAGTGAGATCATCATTCTTTAGAATGTGATGCTTTGAATCGAAACGATCATTTCTTTACTTTGCCAAATTCTCTCCCCCCCCCCCCCCGTTTATACAGTATTTCTCTTGTAGCCACGAAGGCTGATGAGAAAGGGCATCTTTATTAGGGGATTCGCACCCTTTCCATAATGCATTGGGGAAGAGTCACTCGAATCCGGTACCACTTCGTGGCAATTCCTGCGAAAAGCGGACGAAAGGCGATGATTCAAGCACTGCCAGAACACCATCCTGCAGAGCCCAAAATGGTGCCCCCCAAAAACAAAGATGCTTCTAAGTATGTAGCTATTTGTTTCCTTCAACGCCTTCTGGAGACAACGCCGCTGCATGTAAAACCGCGCTGCAAAAACACATGCTACTGCCACGCTTTCGTAAGAAGAGATTGCCCAACACATGCCAACATGGCATTGCATGTTTTGTAGCTCAGCTTGAAATGTGTTTGTGTTGGAAACCCAAATTACCACGTTATCCTAGGTAGCCAAGTTGCTGTTCTTGTTCAGTCACTCTTGCTGGCTTGGGTAAAGTGCATGACAAAAAAAGAAAAAGCAACTGGCGATCCAGGATGGTTCTCTGGCCACCTGCTACTTAGTTGTTCAGTGACCCTGGAAAAAAAAAGGAACCCTTTTTGGGGAAGACCATTTTCAGTGGGGCAGCCACCAAAAAAAAGGGGAAAAAGGGTGCCACTGAACAACTGAGGCGAGCGATGCGCCTGGAAGCGCTCCCGACAGCTCGCGTCAACCAGGACCACGGTCTCCTGGGGCGAGGCAAGGGGAGGGATCGGGCCCGCCTTCCAGGGTTAGATAAACAATGGGCCTGGACCTTCAAACTCCGGGAAATTTCTGGGTGTTTTAGGAGACCCCTACGATTTCCCGAATTCCAGTGGTTTAGCTACAAAGGTTATAATTATACACAATGGGGGTTATATAAAGGTTATATAAACAACTCGGGTGATTTGGTCCACCAACAAGGGAAACCAGCAAGCAAACCCACTATGTCACCCTGGGGGTTCAAACCACCATTCAAAACAATGCGCGTGAATCTTTCCACCGTTATTTACCCTTCAGGATTTTCATCATCCACATTGGGTCCCGGCTTATATATCCAATTTTCCCTTCAGGATTCTCATCCAAATTTTGTCCCAAGGCCATTCGTTCAATGGGAATCGGCAAGGAACCCCACCCGAGCACGAGCCGGGATCCGAAACACGCCGAGACCCCGAAAGCAGTCGGCTGGGGAACAAACAGAAACTTAGGGGTTCCGTTTAAAAACCAACTCGAGCGTCACGCAAGAGTTGCATGGGTGTGGGTGAAAAATGTCACCAGAATAGAAACCTGGTAAACAGAAACAAAGACTATAGCCTGCGCTCCTCTGGTGTTTCACTTTGACCCATACTATACCCACATCAACATGTTAAGGAAGTTCAGAAAACAACTTAGCCATTCGTGACCCCCGGACACCCGACACCGGCTCCAACATAATGCAAGTCCAGGCCAGCAAATGCCCAAGTGCTTGACCTGTTTCCGCGTGGTTTTCGGATGTTCCTGTTAATTCCTCAATCAAAAAAGCCCTCGTGGTGTCCCCAACAGACCAAAGAAACCTCCGGAAGGCTCCTTGAAAGCTGCTCCCACCCCAGAGACTAGCTGGGCAAAGACCCCAAAGCTTCCAGGTGCTGGGGGAAAAAACCAAAGAAACCGTTCTTTTTAAAACCAAAGCAAAAATAAGCTGCGCTACTTTAGGACCTTAAGGCTTCCTTCCAATTTATCCAGCCGACGCTTTGTCGCAAGGCGTGAGGAGTGGCATGAGCCCTAAACCCCAGGTGGCATAGTATGTGGAACTGACGTAGTGGGTTTGCTTGTTGGTTTCCCTCGCGAAAAGGTTCTTAAAATAGAGAATGCATAGACTGAATGGTGTCTATTCGGTGGCCTTTTCACGCAGCCCAAAAAGTTGTGCAGCGAGCCGCAACAAAAAGACTTGCCAACAGCAACCACTAAGTTGCTCTTCCAAAAACATACCATTCAAAAGGCCCAACACAAAAGATCAGACTAAAATACTAACCCCCCCCCCATGACTAGGAAGGAAGGGGGTCCTGGAAGACAAGGTTCCTCTCAAAGGGGGCCATGTGTGGGTTTTTGGAAGGAGGGTAGATGAAGCACCCAACAAAGCAAAAAAATACCAAAAATACCCCCCCCCCCCCCCCAAAAAAAAAAAACGCAAAGCAAAAGAACCCAAACCAGATCAAACCAGTCTCCCAACAAACAATGCAACTATCCAAAGAATATCTAACCACCTAAATTCGGCCATCCCCCAACCTGAAGCCTCTTGCTCTTGCAATCCCCCATGCCTGGCAATGGAAGCGCAGCTTCACCCCGTAAGGGGCCAGCTCCTGGCGTGCCAAAACCAAGCCACCCTAGGGTGTGCCGCATCTTGGAAACCCCTTTTGGTTGGTGCGAAAGGGAAACTAAAGGAGACATAACCATTTTAGAGCTTTCACATGTTGAGACAAACCTACCATGTGTCTAGTCATAGCGCAATCCAATGCATCGCAGGCCATGGACCGCGTTTGTGCTGGCAGACCCTCGCTATCTAGCTCTTGTACATCACACCATATGCAGCCGACTGAGCAATGATGCTGTGCACTCATTCGTGGTGAGAACTAACTTGGAAGAGCAGAAATGGCATGCCGCTGGCTGCGTCGCGTTTTGGGACGATTCCTAAGGGTAGAAACCTGCTGATTGCGACTTGACTTCCAGCCTGTCTGGGCACGGTAACAGAGATGAACAGTGAAGACCGGCTTCACGATGTCGGCAGGGAGGCGCCGCTGCGGGTGAAACAAACATCATTCTCCCATCCCCTACCCACCACCAACCCTCTGGACAACCCAGGCAATAATCCCAACGGGATTATCTCAAAAATTGGACCCAACACGTCAGTGTTTTCGCTCTGCCCCCCTTCTACGACCACAAAATGCATAGCCTCAGACCAAAAAACATCTCCCCCCAATGCTGTCTTGGGTGCTCCGGCCTTCTCCAGAGTACGCCGACCCGGGCCCACCAGCGCCACCTGCGCGAAACGAACACAACACCCAGCTTTCGCCCCGCTCAAAGAACTGTTGATGCTGGGAAATACCTAGTAAACCCAAAAGTACACTGTCGCACTTGGGCAAGGATGTCTGCGCAAAACAAGCCGCCAAATTGAAGGTGTTCAGTCCATGCTAAGGAAAATCCTGAAGAGTTCCAGTACCCCTGAAAAACCTCAACCCTGGACCAAACTGCCACATGCAATCTGTTGAGGGGTCCTGAAAACTGCTTGTTGAGCGTTGTTAAGAATCAACATCCTTAGAAGGTTCCAGGACCCAAGATTTGCCCCTTGCGCTTTGTTTGACCCAGCCGAACAGAATTGAATTTAACCCAGAGACCCTAGAGAAAAGGGAGCACCTTTGGGTTGTCCTTTCCTTTAGGGGAGCCCACCCAAGAAAACAATAAACGGGTGCCACTGAACAACTGGGTTGATTACCTAGGCCAGAAGACATCATGGTTGAACCTTGCACTTGCGCTGGCCACAATCATCTCTAAAATTTGAGGATGTAGAACATATTCTCAGTACAGAATTTGCATGCATCCAATGCTTGTGACTCCATTCCGCCTCGTGTTGGTCCTTCAGTTGGCATCAATACGCAGCTGCCGAGAAACGTCCGCAATGTGGGTCGTGACGGGGTTCTCAGTCAGTCACGAAGGTCGACGCTGCAGCAGGTGTCCCATGCTGAGCCATCGCCCTCGATGTTGGATCGGCCAAAGCCCTTGATGGCCGCATTCAAGTGCTTGAAGAGCATGTCTTCCATGCAATTGAGAGGCAATATCGTCATCATTTGGCCTTTGTCGCCGGATGTGATCAGGAACCTGGGAGGCTTTTGTTCCAACATCAGCTTCCTGTGCGTGCGAGTTGAAACTGGTAATTTCTGCAGCAAGCGGCCAGATGCTATCTGGCCAAGGAAAACAGAGATCCTCAAGTCAGGGACCTACATGGAAGTGGAAAAAAAACCATAGTTCATATGGGTGTGCCGTTTTTTAGGCGAAGCTGCAAATGGTGGTTTTCCTTGTGGTTTTCGCTTTGACACCACAAAGAAGAGGTACCCTCAAGTCTCGGTTGCTTCTGCTCCCCTGTTTTAAAAGTTTAACGTTTGGTGGTTCAATGGAAAACCCATCTGTTGGCAAAAAGTTAAAGTCCCAACATCCAAGCAAAATGCTACAAAGAAGTAATGCCACAATGTGAACAGCCCAAAATCTGCGGTAGACGAACATGAGTCGACCCTTTCTCATGGCCCGGGCCCCGACAGAGGACACTGGAGATTGCAACCTGACCTTGAGGGCACCGTTTGGGATTTAACGGGGGATCTTGGTTGCTGTTGACCCCCTGCAAAACGGTTAACTTTTTGGGGGTTTGGTGGAACGCCCCTTGATTTCCCAAAAAGCTAAAGTCTAAAGATCCAACCCAATAGCAGTCAAGGGAACGTGAGACTTCTGTTTAGAGGGCACTCTTTTGGGCTTGCTTATAACGAGACAACTTATGCTTTGAGGGCACTCAATTTGGGCTTCTCTGAAAGGGGAACGCTTGGGCCGATTTGAGTCGAGGGAACTCTTTTGGGGCTTCGAGGAATCAAAAGGAAGCCTATTTCAAGACACGCCCATGTGACTTGCCGATAACATTACCAAACAACCTACACACCGATACGCCCCAATCTGCAAAACCGACTTGCCCACCCAACCCGATACGCTGGTACTATTGTCCGTCGCTCATGCCTGGTTGGCTCTGGGGCACACCAACAACATGATGTCCTAGCTGTGTCATATTTAGTCAATCTTGCACTGTAAACCAAAAGCTATTTTCTGAGACCCGAGTTATTGGGTATCTGACCCCCAAAAAACATATAACATGGAGGTGTTCTTCATGAGGTGATTTGTTTGGTGAAACCGCCACCCCTACCAAGAGAAAGCTCATCCAACACTGGCGAGCAAAAGGTGATATTTAACTCACTTCCTCAGTGGAGTGGTCAGACAACGTCCCAACTTATTTTTGACCACTACACTTGGACCCCAAATGTGCCTACAGACTCCAGGAACTCAGACGCGCCGAATCCCGAAACAGTTGCAAGCCCAGGAAGCAGTCAGAATGAAACCACCAGAAACCACTGGTTTTGGTCCATGTTACCACTTACCAGGGCAAGCCATTTTGGGGGTTACCCTATTTTTGACAACCACAGCCATCTGCTGCCATTCCTCGGTTGCTTTCTGCTCCCCTGCTAAAAGTTTAACTTTTTGTGGTTTAATGGAAAACCCGTCAGTTGGCAAAAAGTTGAAGTCCTAACATCCCTTGTCAAAACGCACCAGCGATTCCGCCAGGCGGAATCAAAACGACCCCTTCCGTCCGCTCTGGGCATCTGGGCGGGCATGCGGGTCACCAGCAGGCCCTTGCGCCGCAGCAGCTCCTCGTGCCTGGCTTGCGCTGAAGCCACAAGTTGCGTTTGAGAGCTCAAGAATTCGAGGGGTGGATTCCAACCATTCTTTTCAACCATCGTTTTGGTTCTTTTCAAAAACCGATCGCTGTTTCCCCTGGGGTTCTGATGGTTTTCTGGAAAGAAAGATCCCTGGAAAGATTGGGAAGTGTCCCTAGAAGAAGGAGCTCTCGGGCTCCTAGGGTTCCCCAGCTTATCGTGGAACCCAAAAACTTCAACGTATTGTTCAAGGATGCTCTTTTTGGGAATCCGAGCCCTTTTTTGGGGTTCCAGGTTCATTTGGGAGGGGAGTAACTGGTTCAGCTTGATTGCAAACCCCGCGACAGGTACCATCTAAAAACAGGCAGGCATAGGCACACCCATCCTACCCATTTAGGCTTTCATATGCTGGGAGTTGGTACCCTTTTCAGGTTGGAACCAAAAGGAAACCAGCATTTTGGGGGCGTGGTTTAAAATACCGTCTTTCCAATAATCATGGAAGCGGACAGCACATCTTGAAGGTTCATCTTGCAGCAGACATTGCCTTTTCAAACCCAACTGTGGTCAAAGGGCGTTTTCCCCGGCAGCAACAGCTGTGGAACAGAAGCAACTAAATACTCTTCCATTTGCAAAAGCTTCCTGAAAAGATAACAACATGTTCAGTCAGTCCCCTGGTTTTTGTGGGACAATTAGTGAGTCCCCGTCGCCGTGTCCCTCCCAAATGGACTCAAATGGACACTGGCCCGGCATTTTCGACCGCACCGCATATCCAATGCTCGCGGACATGACCCTTTCTATAACACCAAACCGGGATTCCCATCCTAATCACTACCTTACGATAACTTGAACAACACGGCAGGCCCTGATATTGCACAACATGACAACCTAGGACCCAAGTGTCCACAACCACGTCATACGGCAACATGTCTGCCTGCTGGTACAGGTGCTGAGCATCCACTTCCGGAACTCGCCGGCAGCCTGCCGTGGACTTTTGCTTGGTCTCAAGGGAGCAGGTCGGATATATAGGGGAACGCTTCCCCACATTCAAACCGGGGCATAGGGGGGAAAGGGTGCTACTTGTACTCTCTGGTCCATACTCTTGCAACCTCAAAGGAAAAATCCGAAAACAAACATGGAACTTCCCGTAATTACTTTTGCTCGTTTCCATGATTTTTTCGATTGGAGTCACCCAAGCAGGTTAGAGCGAACAACCCACTTCCAAAAGGCAGGCGCTTGCTAATTGCAAATGAGGACACCTTTGAGGACATCTTTGTTGCTGATTGACTTTGGGGCGACACCGACCGAACATGGAACCAGTTTTGGGAACGGAAATTAAGCAGCCCTCAAAATACTGCTTAGATAAAGGTAAGAGCGACCAAGATGCCTGCGGTTTGAGCCATCTCGCCCTCTGGGGGGTGTTTCAAGAAAGCGTTCCTCGTGCAGCCCTTCGGGTTTAGTCAGTGTGGTGTGGGGTACTCAAAAACACATTGACATGGTGTGGTATACTTAGGCGAGGGATGTTGCTTGGAGCTTGCTTGAGGTGGGTTATTGCAAAACGCCGCTGGGCAATGTGGGGTGGGCTATTGCCCAGAGTCGGGATGCCTGTAAAATTCCAACCCCTGCCTGACCCCAGCAAACACACAGAAACCCCTTAATTTTGCGGGTTGCCCATTTTGAGTGTAGGACCCCGCCAAAGAAAGAGGGGCACACAGGGGAAACCGACCGGAGATCTGGCAAACCCAAACATCACCTGGTGAGATCCGTTCCCAAACCGAAAAGAGTTCTTACCTGGACTCAAAGTTTCTAGCGCACACAGACATAGAAATATGCGATATGTTCGGATGTTGGTCCGTATTTAGTCTACCGAAGAACAACACAAATCACGCAAAAACGAGCAAAGAACAAAGTATAGTGATTGCTTTTTGGAAGAAGCCATACACAAAACAAAAAGAATAACAAAAACACACAAGACAAAAAACAATGACAAAAAACAAACAACAACATAACAAAACAAAGTGAATGCTTTTTGGAGGAGACTCCGACTACACGTGAAGCCCCGCTCTTTGATGGCTCAGGCCTTCGCGGACTGCTTGGCGTGGTGTTCGGCCCACTCCTCGAGAGAAAAACAAAGCCAGCGAGATTCTGCCGCATTAGGGAGACATTTATCTCCAAAAGGTGCAACATGGAATATTTGCTCAGGAGACTTCTTCTTTTCGGGGGTTTTCACCTTGTCGCGGGCTTCGCGGTCGTACAGGGTTTGAGCCCTATTCCACCCGAATACATGTCCTCGAGGCGCAGTATATTGGGGATCGCTCAACATGTTTGGACCTTATGCACCTAAACAGAATCAGCACTTCGCTTTGAATGGGGATTGAAAAAGGGAAGTGTCCTGTAAAACTGTTGGATTCCACCCCTTTTCTGAAAGAAACCAGAGGCAACCCCGACTTCCAGCAGCATGGACTAGTGCCCTGTGTCCCCTGGAATGGGGAAACCCAACACCTTCAGCTCCCCAAATTGGGAATGCCACTGTGGCATACTAAAGGAACACAGAAAGAACAGTGCGTTTACCTGTTCAAAGGTATTTCCATTTGATTTCCCGCTTTTGTTTGATTCCCCCTTCATTTCCCGTTGATTTCCCCGGGTCTTTTGAGACCTTTAAACCTTTTCAACCAGGTGCCATCACATATACATTTGACAGGCCTTCGCCCGTGTTTATTTTAACTTTAAACAACGCCCACC